TAAAGTCTGGAGAGAAGTAAGTCACTTATTACATACTACATACTATAGCCGACATCTTATCATCTCCTACTCAGCGCTGCTGAAGTATCACTTACTCTTAAAAATGCCGGAATCGAGGCTTTCAAGCCTGAGGAGTATGGTGACTCTATCAACATTACGCGAACTTTCACGCAAGCTGGAGCTTCTTCATATAAAATCAAGAATACTGGAGGAAAATTGGTCTCAAGCGCCCGGAGCGAATTGTCAGCCATACTAGACCATTTTCAGATTGACGTCGATAATCCAATGAATATCCTCACACAAGGTGCGAGAGAAACGGATATCCCCCTTCATGCATCCTAAGACTGCTCCTATAGATCTAGCGCGTCAATTCCTAAGTGCATCGAATGCAGGCGAGAAGTACCAAGTAAGTTGTAATGGGTCTCATTGTCGATTTGTCTCTCACCTAGATCAGCTCTTCTTGAAGGGAACACTCCTATCACAGCTTAAAGAAGAATACGAGATCATTCGCGAGAATTGTGGCAAAACTAGTGCAATCCTCGGGCAGAAACGTTCATCCATCGAGGAACTGGAGGAAAAGTATAAGGAGGTGTCGGGACGTCATGAAAAGGCGCAAGGGCTGATCAATTACCAGAGAGCTATCGATGCGCTCAAGGCAGAACTGGCATGGGCACACCTGGCAGAGAAAGAAGAACAATTGGAAAGTGCCGTGGTCGACAAGGTCGATAAGCAGAGCAAAGTGACACAGTTGGAGGAAAAAATAGTCGCGGCGCAAGTCCTTGTCAGTGAAAACGAAGCAAAGGTGAATGAGCAAGACACCAAAGCGAAACAAGCAGCGACCCCAGATGCTCTTCGGGCACAAATGAAAGGTGTCAATGAAATGATTAGCCAGAATAAGCACGACTTGCGCAATGCTAAGGTTTGTGGATCAATAGGGGTCCCCTTTACGCCTACCGTTGACACGAATATTTTTGTTCAGCGCGATTTCATTAATATCAAAGAGGAGCTCAAAGGTGTGAGGGATAAGATCAAGAATAACAACGAAGAATTGGAGGAGCAGAGACAACGCCTTGCTCGAGATGGCGAGAGGGAAGCCATCCGACGTCGTGTAGAAGAAGCACAACAAACCTTCGAGGAGGCAAGGCGTGCGCATACGGATGCTGGGCAGGCTGTCGAGGGCCTGAAACAAGAGCTAGAAAGTGATCGCCGAGCTTTGCAAGAGGCGGATCGGGAGTTCACCAATCTCAGAAATAGGGTAGGCGACTGCGACGCCAACGTCAACCGTCTTCAACGAGTAGCCACAGGAAGTGGAGGTCCTGCCATGTATGGTGATCAGATGCCGGAAATATTGAGAGCTATCGATAATGCTCAATGGAGGGGCCAAAAACCAGTGGGCCCATTGGGCCTCTACGTTAAGCTTAGGGATAACAGATGGGCAAATACTCTCCGAGTTGGCATCGGGAACCTGTTGGGCAGCTTTGCAGTCACCGAACATGCAGATCGTAACCAACTCAAGAGGATCCTTGACCAAAGAGGAGCGTATGTACTCTTTCACTCATACGACAGTACAAGTTGGTACTAATCATACCTAGTGGGCGCACAGGTATCATTGTTGCCCAACCTGATATCTTCGATTATAGCTCTGGTGAACCTCCTGCGCAGCTACTCACTGTGCTCAGAGTCCTTGACGTCAGTTCTATTTCATTGTACACAAGCCACTTTCGCTCATCACTTTCAATGATAGATATCTCATGAATGGGTTACTCGACTTCTTATTAATGGTAGGGGCATTGAACGCTTAGTGCTTGCCCAAGATCGCGGAGAAGCGGAGGATATCCTCAAGCGGCACCCTAAATATACGGTCTGGACTCGAAATTTATTGCGTGTACAGCGCTTTAGGTAACGTAGTTTCCCCTTAGTAGGGATCACGCGGTTTTGATACAGCCCACAGTGATGGAGGAGGTCAAACAGCTAGTCTCGGGTCAGTGATTGACTACTTTTCTAGCTTAGGTTCAATGTCTAACCTTTGACCAAATATAGTAAACTTCCCAATGATTTTAGGCGACTGCTGTTCCCCGAACGGAGCATACAAGAAGAACTTAAGTAAGCTATGCGAAGTGATCTAAAGCCATCAGTATTGATTCACCATAGAAATGCCCAAGAAGAGATGAGCAACTGTCAAATGGAATGTGAAGAAGCGACTCGACGCAAAAGGGAAGCAGAGTCCTCTTTCCGCAACAAAGAATCACAATTGAGGGAGTGCCAGGTATTTATATTCGACTTGACATGGAATGGTACTCTGACGTGCAGTAGCAAAACGAAAGGCGATGCCATGACGCGGCAAGACAAGCCCATATGGCATTGCAATCTGTCAAAGCGAATGATGTTCAGGAAACGCCCATCAATCTAGCCGCACTAGAGGTCTCAGCAGAAGTATGTGTCATTGAAAGCCGATTCTTACATTAGATCTTCACACTTTGGCAGGAATTGCGTACTGAAGAAGAAGGGCTTACCCGACAACTTGAATCATGCGCCGACACAGTTGCAGAGATAGAATCTCGGAACCGGCCTTTAGTCGAACAAGCCAGTGGCCTTCGTAATGATATAGCAAGTTTCGAGGCCAATCGAAGAACTCTCGAGGTAAGGTCTACACAAGTCATCTTGATCCCTTGGATTCACTTCTTGGTGTAGGTCGAGATGAATGAAGTAGTCACGGAGCTACTCAAATCTCAAAGAGAGCTATCACATTATCAGAATAAACTCGAAGAGGCAAAACAGGATGTCCGCAAGGCCGGGACGGCGCAAGACCAAATCGAAACGGACTATAAGGTAGACTATATTAAAATGCAGCTTCATAACTGAAGCCTACTTATTCAGGATTGGCACCGTCGTGTGGAAGGGCGCTATCCACGAGTCGAGAATCCTAGGCGGTCTACAGTCATTGACAAGGAGCTAAAAGCAAATCAAGCTTCATTGGATAGGGCAATACAAGAGTGAGTGTCACTATCATATCGACTGTCACCACTAAAGTTATTCATTCTCCGATCTGCAAAAGACAAGGACAGACGGTCGAGGAGATCGAGGCTGAGTTGATCCGTGCTAGGGACACCTGGACCAAGGCAAGGGATGAATATAGGGACATGAGTAACCTTGTTCGTGTATGTGGTTTCACTCAGTCAAGCATGTGTGGAGAGTCTAAAAATTTTATAAGCGTCTTCGCAAATCCCTGGCGAGCCGTATGCAACACTGGCAACATTTCCGTCGCTTCATTTCATTACGCTGCAAGCTTTCGTGAGTGCTATCGTGTTCATGCCCTACTTATAGTGACTATTGATCGTCTGGTAGATTCAAATTATATCTTTCCTTGCGTGGCTTTTATGGACGGGTCACTCTTGACCATGAAAATGGCCTACTGAGTCTGAAGGTTGTGACAGATGACCAAAAGAGTCAAAATGGACAGTCACGCGAGAAGGACGCCAAGGTTTGTCTTCGTCATTCACCACTACTGGCACTAACTGAATTCCGTTTAGAGTGTAAGCAAAGTCTCGACTGAAGATCTCCTTTTGATAATTCTCTATCCATAGATGTCTGGTGGTGAGAAATCGTTTTCGACCATTTGCTTGCTATTATCCTTGTGGGATGCTATGGGCTGCCCTATCAGAGGTATGAACTTCGATTCAAATAGTCCTATACTAATCCATGTCCAGCTCTGGACGAGTTTGACGTTTATATGGAC